ATTCCTTATGCACTATAATGGTCCCATTAAAAAACAGATTTCTGGAAGGAGGCTTTATAACTGCAATTTACTTAGCAAGACAGATGTTTCATCCAGCCTTAAGATGCAAGATTCTGCTGAGACCAGATTGCTCAAACATTCCCTCACCAATATCAGGAAAAATAACTATCCAAGAGTTTTCTCTCTTAAAACTTCTCACTTAAAACGTGTTTCAGATTACTTTGATTGGTGTATGCAAGTATCTACATGAGATGAAGATACCAGACAGCAAAGGTCTAATCTAAAGCAAAAGGTACATCAAGAGGCAAGAGGTAAAAGCAATAGATACCCTCTAGACATCTCTGCTGCAAAAAAATGGGGCCTATGTTCTTTAAGCCTTGCCTTTCTGAAGGATGGACCTGAAATGAGTTGAGAGGAATGGGTTCATTTAGCAAAAAGGGCTAATATTTACTTGTATGCTTTGCTGTCATTCATTTTTGTAACAGGTTAATCTGTTTGAAAAATTAATTTTCTGGAAGAAAAAAATCTTCTTTCATTGTGGTTCAAAGAATAAACTTGACTTCTATCAGAAGGATCACCTGCTAGTAAATTCCTGCTTTTTAGTTCCTACCACAGCAGGACATTTTTCTTAGGTATAAATTCTTTTCCAGGAACTGGCTTGCAATAGTTTTGCAGCCATGGTGGGTTTCTTCCATTCCACTCCTAAAAAGCTAATTATGAAAGGGAAATGTTAGCCAAATACTCATCTCCTCAAAATGTTATGATGGCATTCATGTTGAATTCAAAAAAATGCTGGCAACATTTTGAGAGACTGCCTTAGAAGGTTCTCCTTCTAAGACAGAAAATCCACTTGCATGTCCATGGATTTAGAAGACATGAGCAAAGACCAATTCACTGCGGTAGGATTTCTTCAGTATTTAATAAATAAAAGTTAGCATTTAAAGGTACCTTAGAGAGCGAAGCAGCTGAACTAGGCTGTGACTGTTTCTGTGCACCTCCTCCTGTCGTGGTTCAAGCCCAGCCGGCAACCCGGAACCACGCAGCCGCTCCCTCACTCCCCCCTCTCTTCTTTCCTCCCCCCGCTCCTGGAGGGATGGGGAGGAGAATCGGAGGAATGTAACTCCCACGAGTTGAGATAAGAGCAGTCCAGTAACTAAGGTATAATACAAACCACTACTGCTACCAATAATAGTGATAAGGGGAATAACAAGGGGAGAGGACACAACTGCTCACCACCCACCAACTGATACCCAGCCCGACCCGAGCAGCGATCTGGGCCTTCCGGGTAACTCCCCCCAGTTTTTATACTGGACATGACGTGCTGTGGTATGGAATACCCCTTTGGCCAGTTTGGGTCAGGTGTCCTGCCTCTGCTTCCTCCTGGCTTCCCCTCCTCTCTGGCAGAGCATGAGACTGAGAAAGTCCTTGGTCAGAGTAAACATTACTGAGCAACAACTAAAAACATCGGTGTTATCAGCGTTG